GAAGTCGGGTTTCATTTGTGGAGTCTTGCATTTATGATACTGTGACGTGATGGCTGAAGGCTGGAATAGTTTAAAAATATATGTGGCCATTGCTAGGCAGCAGCGTGGTAAACACATTTTCCCAGCAACAAATAAACATGCAACAATAGAGGAATTCCTGAAAACGTTTGTTTCTGTGCAGCCTTTGGACAAGGTTATATAATGAGGACACCATCCAAATTATTTCGGTTATTACTTACTCCTGCCCCACCTGGGAGGATGTTGCGGACGCTCACCTCTTGAAATTGCAGTGCCTGCACAACAGAGTACACTGTGCTATTGGAAATCTTGACAGGTGCACACCAGTCCGCAAGTAGCACGTGGCTTTCAAAATTCCTTGCATGTATGACTACACAACTAAATTATGCGGGACACAGGCAGAAGTGTTCCTAAACCATGTAAATCCAAATGTACGTGGTATTCGACAGGGAGAAGCCAGACACAGGAAGAATAAGAGGCATGAACTTGGTGGCTGTCAGGCCTGTGACCGTTCAGCTGACTAACTGCAGTTTCAGAATAGTTGCATAAGTTAAGGCATAACCCGATGCACATGCCTGCACATATAGAAACCCTCTGTATATATTGTCAACATGTTATTTAGTATTCTGCAGTGACAAAGAATGCACAGAGTCCATAGTGAACTAGACACTGTGACAGTGTAGATATACTCGTGCTGAAACTAGGGTGCAACACACGTAGTGACTGTCAACGAGAAGGCCCCATTTTGAAACACGCACATGTTGATGAGAGAAGAAAAATTTTGGTCAGGGATCTCAAGGAGACTGAACCAAGGATTAACACTGCTGGAAATGGCCAGCAGCAATTTAACCAACTCACCAAGTAAGTTGACACTCATGATTGAATCTATTAGTGAAGACCAGCAGCAACTGAATGGAGCGACCAACCGAATCGACAGTCAGTCATGCGTTGGAAGGTAGCAGTCTGGTTCATGAGTTGCATTGTTAGATTGCTACTGCCAAGGGATGACTAGTGAAGGCATAGAGGGCTTAGTGTTTACAGTAGTGATTTACAGAATGTGTAGTTTAAGGAAAGTGTTATAATTATTTGTACTTATGAGTTGTAAACATTCAGTAGATTCAGTTACGGCCCCAAATCCCATATCTATTCACTGGCATGTGACAGTGTTATGTTAAATGTACCATTTTGGAATCAGCTGTTATATATGCTGTCCCTTGTTTTGCGTATGTATCAAACATACCAGATGTAACAGAATTCTCCTTTGTTTATACAGGAGAATGCTGTTTCCATCAAAGTAGAAATTGATGATGTGATTGAAGAAAATTCAATCGACATGGAAACTGATGAGGTTTATAGACCATCAGTATGTTCCATAAACAAGGTTGAACCCAAGGTAAGCTTTACTTTCAGATGATGTTTTTGGTTTTCCTCCAGCACTTGATATTGCCACAAATGTCTTACAAGTTTTCATACAAAAGAGAGTTTTCAGATAGATGTCATTGTTGGATCATTGGCGACCCTCCCATCTGTGGAGCCTTGCTTTGATGTTGTTGTGACATGATGGATGAAAGCCTGTCAGTCCAGGTTCATGAGTTGCGTTGTTAGATTGCTACTACCAAGCAATGACTAGTGAAGGCATAGAAGGCTTAATGTTTATTATAGTAGTGTACAGAATGTGTAGTTTAGGGAAAGTGTTATAATTATTTGTTCTTACAAGTTGTAAACATTCAGTAGATTCAGTTATGACCCCAAATCCCATGTCTATTCACTAGCATGTGATAGTGCTGTAATCTTAGATGTTCCCTTGTGAGATTAGCAGTTGTGTATGCTATCCCTTGTTCTGCATATATGTTGAACACGATACATCTTTTCACAGAATTTTCTTTTTTTATAACTGTACAGGGGAACAGTGTTGCTGTCAAAGTAGAAGTTGATGATGTAATCGAAGAAAATTCCGTTGATGTGAAAATTGAGGAGGTTTTTGCACCATCAGCATGTTCCATAATGGAGGTTGAACCCAAGGTGAGGTTTGTTTTCAGATGATGTTTCTAATTTTATTCTCAAAAGTTTTTTGTATGAAAAGCTGTTTGTAGATAAATGGCATTCTGGGTTTGTTGGCAACCCTGTTCAATTTGTGGGGCCTTGCATTGATGATAATGTGACATGATGGAAGAAAGTTGTAATAGTTTAACAAATAAATGTGGCCATTGCTAAACAGCAGCGTGGTAAACATGTTTTCCTACAAGTGAATGAACACGCAACAGTGGATTAATTCTTTCATCAGAGAGGATGCTACATAAGGATTATGACCGCAAGGGTTCAGTTGAAAAAGAGAATCTCTGGTCGTGATCCTGAAGGGGCTTGGTTGCAAGACAAACTGATTGGTGGTAAACTGCCAGTCATAAAGTAATTATGACTCTTGACTCTGAGTCAGTGGTCAATCCTGGCTCATGATGTTGAGTCAGAGGTTATAGCCTGGATTCTTGACTTGTGTTGTTAGATTGCCACAATGAAGCAATGACTATTGAAGGCATAGAAGACTTGCTGTTTACGGTAGTGATTTGTAGAGTGTGTAGATTAGTGAAAGTGCTGTAATTATTTTTAGTTATGAGATTAAGCATCCAGTAAATTCAGTTACCAGCCCAAACTCCTTATCTATTTACTAGCATATGACAGTATTTTAATGTTAAGTGTTCCATAGTTGAATCAGCCATTGTGTATCCTGTCCCTTCTGCATATATATGAAACAACAAATGTATCTTGTAACAAAACCCTCTTTTGTTTATAATTCACATCACTATGTAGATGCAATCAGCACAGAAAATGTTGTGAATATTATATTTAAAAATATTGCCACTGACATGCAAACTGAAGAGCCATCAGCATTGTCCATAAGTGAGGCTGAGCCCAGGGTGAACCTTGTTTGCAGAGGACTTTTGTTGTGCTGGTTTCTGTAGATGTGTGTGAATAGGAATTGGCAGGTACCATTTTGTCCCTGTCAAGATAAGTTGGTCCATTTCCTGTTGTTGGGGGTGTGAGATGCAGAGGGGGCTGTCAGATTATCCATTCCATCATATTACATTTTACTATATTAACTTCCTGTACTATAATCACCTGTTTTCCTTCTTTCACTGGCCACTTGGCATGATGAACACCTGTAGCAACCAGGTTATCTTGTTCCTTCACTTGTCCTTGTTTGATCATGATGAACACTGTTCATGGAAGTTTCATTTATTGTTAAAGATATAATCTCTCACTCTAAGAGAAGAATAAATATGGAGGGTGTTTCAGAACAGGGTTTGTAGTGAGCATTTGGACGTGTGGGAGAACAGGACGGTACAGTGGGGAAACCTGCGTAACGGGGAGCTTGCTCTTATGATCAGTTCTAATTAGAATTATAAAGTCAAGGGAGAGTGGTTCATGCAGCATGTGAGAAATGAGAAATGCTCACTGATTATTCATCAGAACACCTGGAGAGAAGAGTCCACTTGTGACATCTCCCTGATGATAAAAAGTTTTCCCTGTGTTTAATTAATTAAGCACTGTGCCATGAAGACATATTGGAGAGTGGGGCTATAGATCAGCCATTGTTGACCTTGGCACTAGATGGTGGTGGGTGGTCTGCTTTATCCCTGGGGAAAGAGCCACCAGTACCCATTGGTTAGGAGGCTTAGTGGGCGCCATGGAGAAGAGAGAAATCTTGCCTGTGTCAGGAATCAAACAGCCTGTAGCCCATCGCTGTGCCAACTGTTATTCTGACCCCTCTCTAAGATAGGACAGCATTATTCAAACAGATGTGTGTAAGGTTGGAAGGTGTGAACATGCCTTTTGCTTATGGCAGGGACCCGTAGTGGGCTCTTGTAGACATGATATCGAACCCTCCAGTACTATAGAAGGCGGAGAAGTGCTGCACTTGCTGAAGGACTGTTAGCTTTTGATGAAGGATATTGTTCCAAGGGAGGTGGTAGTCTGTTGATTGGTGAGTCAGTCATGGAGCAAGTTTTTGTCGGGAAATGTTTTGTTGTGAAGAAGAAAATTTTTACAAAACAGCTGTTACCAGTTTGATGCAATGTAAACCATTTGTAAAGAAAGGGTATCCTACTTCATGTAATGTGTCATTGAGAGCGCATAGATGTGATTCATAAGGGTGTGGTGATTTTTACAGATCTGTACTATCTTATTGAAAGATGGACCTTGTCCATCCAGTGAGACATGTAATTGGGCCATGAATGTAAAAGTTGAAGAGGACGATCCTTTGGCGATACCATTTGCTTCAGTAAAGGCTGAACCTGGGGTGAGTTTGTGTGTCAGACACATTTCACTTATATATGCGTAACTGTATTGGCTTTCTGGACTCTGTCTGTCTGTCTGTCTGTCTGTCGTCACATGAAACAGCTCCTTTCAGATGAATTCTCTGTGTCTTTACCAAAATGTCTGGAAGGATAGTTTATTTTGTTGCATACTGGCTGCATTGTTCCTTATGGCAGTGTTAAGAAATACGAATCAATATAGTGAGAAGACTGAAAGATGTTTCATAAAAGTGTTAAAACCACAGAATCCTTTCACGGTTTGTTTGTGCATCCTTTCCAGTGAACGTTTTTTTTGACACTGCATTGTGCCATGAGATTCATTGTATTTCCAGGATCAGAGTCAGAAGGTTGCTATTTACTGTATATCTCATGCAACTGTGGTGCACACTGTATCCAGACAGGAGATGTGTGTCTCTATTTCCATTAGGATCTCTAATAGGATAAGTGATGATGATTCTTCAGAGTTTTGTGAAGGAGGTTAACATTCATTATGCAGATAAATTGGATGTTCTCAACTGTTGGAAATATATGCTTAATACTCGTACCATTCAGTCCAGAAATTTGTCTTCTCATCTGATGTCTTAAAAGCATAAGAATTAAAATATACGAAACTATAATTTTGCCTTTGGTTTTGTATGGTTGTGAAACTTGGCCTCTGACATTAAGGGAGGAGCACAGACTGAGGGCATTTGATAACAGGCTGCTGAGGAGAATATTCTTGTTGAAGATGGACAGAGTGATACGAGGTTCGAGAGAACTGCATAATGAGGAGCTTCATAACTTCTACTCTTTTCTAGGTGTAATTAGAATAATCAATTGAAAGAAGATGTGATAGATAGTGCATGTAGCATGCATGGGGGAAAGTGAAATGGATATAGTATTCTGGTGGGAAAGCCAGAAGGAAAGATACCACTAGGGGGGAGTTCCACGGAGTTAATTAGGTAGTTATACATTTCAAAAGTTGATGAATGGTCATTATACTGAGGGAATTTTTATTGTTTTATCTTTCAAGGTTAATGGTATTGGTAGTAATCTGACCTGGGCTATCCTAGTAAACTGTGTGCTTGTGTGCACTATGGGAGTGTTTGGTCTGTAGTTGTACAATAACTGAGATGTCAGGCAACAGTTGGCTGTATGTTCAGATGTAAATGATTTAGAAGAATGTTTAGTTCTGTATGAGCGACCAGTGCATCCAAAACCCTCAGAAGTAATATCACTTCTATTAATTAATATTTTTGACACCATAATACCTGTAGCTCTTGTGTTACATCTTGTTGTGGCTGCAATTTGTGTGTTTTCTCTGTTTTTGGTTTTGTCTACTGTGGAGGCTGGTGCATGTAGTGCGTGTTGGACCACATTCTTTTTTAATTACTTTAACATGAATCCAACTTAGTTAAAAATAAAACTTTATGTATAGACGTGTGTCTTGTGTACCACAAAATATTGAATACAGAGTGACAGTTTACACAGATCATCATATATACCTGATGATGGTCCCATATAGCTGGAAAGAGTTGTAAATATCCATGAAAACATGGAATAAGTGGTGGTTTAAAGTGGCACTGGAGTAGGTTTCTCCGAGTAGTTTGGTTTCCCGTGCCACTTCTCATTCCAACAAATGCTCCATACTCTTCTACCATCTGGGTTGGTACAATAGCCCAAATAGTGGCTGACATACCAAGTGGACTCAGTCCCATCCCACCTCATCCCACGAAAAAAGTGATGATCTGACAAACAAACTGTGAAAATGCTGCATTTACATGACTCTTATACATAAATACCAAATGCTCAACTAATGAAACAGGATGCTCAAATTCAGTGTTATTCAACAATAGTTTCTGGCTGTTGTATTGCAGGTCTGCAAAGGCAGCAAGATGTCCAGCATGTCACCATCTGATGAAGGCCCGGAAGGTGATGGTCTGGCACACTGTGCTGACTATGTGGACAGTCAGTCATCTGACATTGTCATGAAGAATGAGGTCTGTAGGAAGGAGGCACCAGTATATGAAAAGCATTGTGACTCCACAGATGCAAGTGATGATTCAGCTAGTGTTGCACCATCTGCTTGTGAAAAGAAGCGTAAGGCCAGGGCGATAAAGCTGAAAGAAGAGCGGCTAGATCTGCAGTGTGAGTGGCGGGACTGTGATTACCGCACTGGCAATCTTGACCACTTTGTGCGTCACGTGAGCCTCCACATACCACACCTAGAGGTGAAAATGACTGATGATCAGGAAGGTAGGGGTTCTGGTGTGTTCCCTATGATCCTTCCTGCTTCCAGCAATACATGGCATTGTAATTTGTCCAATATATGCTTTGCTCATATCAACTTCCGTTCATTGTTAAAATATTTCAGAAGTATTTAGTGGTTTGAAAATGGCAGGAGAAAACATGTAAAATAACAGAATAAGCATTAACCATTTGTTTTGCCACAAGCCAATTTGATTGCATTGAAATTGCAACAACCAGACAGATTAATATTATATATTAATATATCAATATTAAACACTTAATACAGCATTTTTTGTAGTAGATGGGATCAGGTGTTCTGTACTGATGTTTATAGGAAAGAATAGACTTTGTTGGTATCTCAGCCTGTGGTCATTTGAAGGTTATCTCAGGAAGGTTTTCTGTGCAGCATTTACCTGTAAGCAGCCTTTGCTTTTCTAGCAGCGAGTTCTGTGGCAGGGCTTGGCACTTAGAGGGTTAGAGATTTGAGGGAAGTAAGTATTCTTGATTTTATCAGAAGATCGCCTGAGTAACCTTTACCATGTACACTGTTCTTTATAAAACCTCCTTCAACAGAGAGCTGAGAGGTTAATTTTCTAAGTATATTAAGAATTCCACTAGTAGGTGGTCTGTGTTATATATCTGAGAGCAGAAGGAATACACTTTTGTTATTTTCTGTAGTTTTCAGGGAGGAACATCATTAAATTACAAGAAAAGGTCATGGAGAAACCAGGTCATTTGTTCTTGTTTCAGATGGATGCAAAAATATTACATATGAAAACAGTTGCATTTCAGTAGCAAAATGAGGTGACAGTATAAATGAAAGACAAAACAAATTAACCTAAAAATAATTTGGTTCCTTTGAGTATAGTGATAAAATAAAATTGGGTTTTTGTTAGTGGACTGGAATAAACTGATTTAATACATGTGGATTTTAATGTTAAAGTGACAGACCATCAAGTTCTATAATGTTGAGTTGAAGCAGTGCCAGTTCTTGTTGCTGTGAAAGTTCTGTTCTGTTCAAAATTAATTTGTTTCATGTAACCATGACCTCTTTTCCTAACATATGATTTTAGCATGGCTGTTTCTGCCCTGAGTAACCTCTTTATGAAGTTTTTCAGCCAAAATTTTGCCTGCAGTTTTCCACCCTGTATTTTTTGTGCAGCAAGGCTCTCAACCAATTTAAGAGAATCGTTGTAAAGGGGGTTATCGAGAGAACAGTGAAGCTCTTTCGTTTGCAGTTTTCATAATTCATTTGATTCATGTGCCTTGGACCCAGATACTTTCCTAAACACTCTGTTTTAGAATAACTTTGATTCATCTCTGTGAGTATGGAATTAGAATTTGTGATTTCTGCCTGGAGCTTCTTGTATTTGCTATTGTTACCCTGCTTTGTGAACGTAATGACCTTTGTTACCCAATATTTATTTTTTCATATTTATCTGTAATGGGTTTTGTGAAACAGCTGATGCTTGTTTTTATAAAGGGGGCAAATGTATAGAGGCCTGGAAGAAAAGGATGGTAAATGCTTGTTATGTGTCTCCTATATTAAGAACAAAAGTCCCGCGAAGAGTATAAATGGGAATGTGAGTAAACCTGAAACTGCAGACATTTCACAACTTTTAGTTTGTATACAGGCATTGTGATGCATTGTTTAGGTAAGGTATGTATTTCCATTTCTTCATATGCCTCCGGTTTATGCCAAGATGAGAAAGCCTATTTCAGATATTGCTTCTGCTCTAGTGTGTAGCGTCCCTTGATGGTCTGTAATATTCCACTGTATGTTCCAGTGCAGTTGTCATAAGATGAGCAGTCAGTTCTGAACATCAGACAGGCTGCATAAGGCACATTTCATTGTTAATAACTACGTGGTGCAATCCAAAAGTTCTCAAAATATATTAATAAAAACTATTACATCTTACCTAGATCATATTCTGCACCATCACCTTCAAAGTAGTCCCCTTGGGAGCGCATACACCGATCCCAGCGTTTCTGCCACTTTTCAAATGCATCATGGAAGTCTTTCTTTGTTGGGGTGTTTAGTACCGTCTGCGTTTCCACTTGAATTTCCTCAACTGTATCAAATCTTTCCCCTTCAACTTGATTTTCATCTTGGGGAAGAGAAAGAAGTTGCATGGAGCTAAGTCTGTCAAGTACGGTGGGTGGGGAACAACTGCCATCTTGTTTTTAGCCAAAAATTCCTGCACAATGTAAGCCGTATGCTGTCGTGCGTTGTCATGGTGGGGTACCCAGTCGTTTGTGCGCCTTAGAACATGGCCATAGAACTCTTTATTGACCGTCTGGCCAGGAGGGATGAACTCCTTATGAACAATCCCGTCAATATCAAAAAAACAGATCAACATGGACTTGATGTTGCTCTTGACTTGTCGAGCTTTTTTTGGCCGAGGTGAAGAAGGGCTCTTCCATTGCGACGATTGCTGCTTGCTTTCAGGGTCATAGCCATAAACCCAACTTTTGTCACCAGTGACAACCTTTGAAAGAAAGTTTAGATCCTCTTGAAGCTGTTGCTGAAGTTCCCTGCAGACTTCCAAGCGATGCTGCTTCTGTTCATTTTGCAGCAGTTGTGGCACAAACTTCGCCGCAATCCTCCTCATGTTCAGTTCCTCTGACAAAATTCGTTGACATGTACCACCTTATTAGCCCCAAGGTGTTACAGAGGTCTTGGATGGTCAGTCTACGATCTTGCAGAATCAGATCCCTAACTTTCGTGACATTTTCTGGTGTTTTTCCCGTTGACGGCTGTCCTGAACGATTGTCATCATCAGTCAATGTTCGGCCATTTTTAAAACGCTTATACCAGTTGTAAGTTTGTGTCTGGCCTAAACTGTTTTCACCAAAAGCTTGCTTCAACATTTGGTGCGTTTCTGCAGCGGTTTTCCCAGGTTTGAAAGAAAACTTTATACAGACACGCTGCTCTCTCAGGTGAGCCATCGAAAAATGGCAAACTCACGGAAACACAACAATGGGAATACGTTCACCAACAATAAACCCAACCACTCAACTCGACACCGCTTTCCCACACTGATTCAAGAAGGATGTGTGAGGAGACACCTAGTGATATTTCGATGTACTCATAACCATTCGCGCGCAAAATTCAAATTTTTGAAACTTTTGGATTGCCCCACGTATAATAAATTAATTTATATGTTTTGAGATACTGGAGACATAATTTGCATGTTGCAGGTGTATATGTCTGCCTGTGGGAGCAGTGTGGTTTTGAATCTGCAGACTCCAATGAGATAACAAGGCACGTCAATTTCCATTCATACCATACCAAAATAAAATGCATTGGGTCAAATATTTTGGCTCGTTCAAAACTACCGGTGAGTGATGAGCATTCAGCAGATATGTGCTTTACACATTTATTAAAATCTTCTTGTGATAGTGCTTAACACATTGAGGACTGGTTGCATGATATCGTGGTTTTGGCTTTTAAACGTGGTGGACCGGTCACATGATATCATGATTTTAGGACACGTTAGCTTGTAACACACTATACCTTGCTCTGGCGCCACCCAAGTTGCACGCAGTGTCGTAATAAAACATGTTTCCATACTTGTCAGTAACTTCATCTCGCTATTTTCTTTTAAGCCACTATAAACGAAAGTGCTTTGCTGTTCTTTGAGCTGTATGAATCAGCCAGTAGTTAGTGGTGGGGTATGGACAAGGACAAATTCTTCTCCGATGAGCCAGCTGACCTGCCTTGTGAGACGCATAGTTATGGTGATAGAGAGAGCGGCAGTGACGGGAGAACAAAGAATTGTGGCCAAAGACAGTAAAAGTGACAGTAGCTCAGACGATAATGGGGGTAATATTGCGGGGACAGTAAAAAATCTAAAAAAATTATTGAAATCTAAACCCTGATTTGAAATTGAAATACAAAGCATTTCTGATGAATGTGGAAAAGGCCTGGGCTGCAGACCAGATGATGGCGGCAGAACCAGAGTCAGACACAGGCTTAGTGCGACCGGGCCCATCAACCCCCACCCCATGCAGGCCTCATGTGGCTCCCCCCCAGGGCGACTCACGGGTGATATTTGGAAACGTACCCTTGTGAAAATTGTGAAGAGTGAACATTCCAAGGGGAAGCATCCTTCTAGGCAATGCCGTGTTTCCACAGTTCACAAAAAAGGAGTGTCTACATTTGCAAGTTCTGTGTAATGCCACTTCACAAAGGGGAATGTTTCCAGAAATATCACACCCTCAAACACTTCTAGGAGCATTAATAAGTGTCTCCAAAAATTTTAGTTCATAAAATGAATTAGGAGATTTTATATTAATTTTTAAACTGAACAGTGCAAGTGTTAGGATAGTAGGTTTAATAATGGTGGTCCCCAGGGTGATTTAAATATTTAAATCACCGGTCCTTAATGTGTTAATACCTGTTCAGCCTCTTACAAACAAAATTCTCACTAATGTGGCACTGAGCATGTGTTGAGAGAGGGCTTATATATTTCAATTATTATGTTTTGGTACATTGTTCGTTGTCTTGTTTTTATTTAAAGCACGCAACTTTTCGGAGACTGGATTCTTTCTCCTGGGATTAAGGACCAGCTCCGACGATTGGGCCCAGTTGAGTAGGTTCTCCCTGAAGAAGGAGACTGCATCCAGTTTCTGAAATGTTGTGTGTTTTAAATAAAAACAGGATGATGGCTAATATCCAGAAACACAATAAATATATTGTAACGTGTTTTGTTTACTGAAGACGCCGTAAAGATTGTTAATTGGTTTATTCAACAACCTACAAGTAACGGCTACAATTAATTATAACAATATTACGGGTTTCCACACTTTACAAACCCTACAACCAAATCTCTTCACACTATCTTCAAGAGTCTTCACATATTAATAACACGGGAGCTATACAAGTCTCTCTGAATTACACATTCCAAATATAACTGTACTACAGCACACACAAAGTCTCGAAAGCACACAATAAGTCTTCCACTCGCTGACTTCTTAGTTATTGCACACTGTCACATAAAATCTTGTAACCACGCATTCAGGTCTTCTTACCGCGACTGCTGCTATGTTTCAACTCAACTCGTAGGCTGCTGCCTTGAGAACTGTTGATCACACACTCCAGCGGCTGATTCACTTCAACGGCGTTCACTGCTGACTGGAGAACTGTCTTCGGTGCTGATACACTTTAGCTCTCTCCGGGGACGGCTACAAGTTAACTCACCTACAACTGACTCGGCGATGGCCACATTTCAACTAACTCATGCTTACCGCTCAGCCGGCTTCTATTCCGTTCGCTGTTGCCTGTTGCCCGCGTCAACAGCGTCGTAGCATGCCACATCACAGTAGGAAGCGGTGCCGTGTCACAGTGTTTGCGTATGGCCTAGCAACACTGTTACCTCACGCCGTCTTATGACACCGCGCATTGCGCGTTACGTCACCGTGCGGAGGAGGGGTAACGGAGCGCTGACTCATCCGCCACATCACTGTGGGGGGGAGGGGTTCTCCCCCATTGCGCAACATGTCACAATATTAATATACAATCATCACAAATTTATGGAGCTTATATATTTGTCCAAATTAAATGCTTTTAGTTATGGATTTAATAAAAGCTATGGAGTGCAAGGTTGGGCGTGAAGTTGTACAACTCCCAGAATTGTGAGACAGTAGAGTAATGGTCATGAGTTCCACAGGACCTGGAACCAAGAATGACTGTGTTGATGAGGATAGCAGCAGTTTCTCTGATCGTTCAAGTTGGGATTTGATTAGTGGACAGAACAGCTCACATCCACAGCTGACAGGAGAACTGAAGTGTGGAGCTTATGAATTATCACGGTATCAACAGAGAAAGTGATCTTGTGTTCCAGGTTTGTACATTCCAAGATGCTGGGAAGAATGTGGTACCAGACTTGCCACATGCATTTGAATGCTGCTGGCAGACCTGCGAGCAGACATTCAGCAACTCTCAGACTTACTTCAAACATGTTGAGGCACATGTCTATTGCAACCCGCGTGGTAGAATAGTGGAAGGTGGTGTTCCTTGCCATTGGCGTGGTGAGTTCTAATTCCTATATCATGAATTCTCACCATAACTTATATTAGTTCAATGCCACCCTTTGCATGCATTGCTGTTGCCCTAGCCGGCAGGATTGCCATTTATCCGCTTTGCATGTCACAGCAGATTTCAAAAGCTTATCGTGGATGTACAGGGTGCTGCACAAAATGATCATTATTTGATCTACTAATGAAACCTTCATTTCAATTACATTACTAGAAACTAACATATAAAACAAAAGACCATTGCATGGAGATTTATCCTCTGTGAATCAAGTGTTTAATATGACCAACATTACGTCTTTCAGCTTCTTCAACATGAACTGTGATTTGTTGATTACTTGATGGCACATATCCTCAGCTATCTTGTTGTAGGCCTCAATGATTGATGCTCTCAATTCCATTATTGTTTCTGGCCATTTTGGAAAAATATTTTCCTTCATAAATCCCCAAAGAAAGTAGTCACATGGGTTTAAATCAGGACTATCCAGGAGCCAATTCTGCCAACATGTGAAACCGACAAGAAAGCAGTTTGAGATGACACACAAGTTGAAAATGTCATGCAGAAAAGTACAAGACAGCATTTGTTGTGTGCAGCCTGGCTCCATCCTGAGTGAGCCACTGAGTCTGTAACAGCAAACCTGTAGCAAGAAGGTGAGGCACAGAAGTATTGCACAACATGATAAAATAGCACTCACTGTTCACTGTCTCTTCAAAGAATATTGGCCCTAGCAGTTCATGACTTGAGATGGCAACTCACACTATAATTTTCAGTGCATGATGCATCTTCTCGTAAATCACTTGGATTCTGTGATGCCCAAACTTGTCCATTTTTTTATTAACCACACCAGCAAAATGGAAGTGTGCCTCATCAGAAAACCTAATGCTGTTGAAAGATACTTCAGTATTTTAAGCCAATTCAGCAAATGCCATTCTTTGAAGTTTGTTTTCATCTGTAAGTTTAGTCAACACTGCAGTTTTTTGTTGAACATGTGGAACTGCATGGAGCAGTGCAAATTGAGGAAATGGCAATGCAGTTGCACTGCCACTTGTGTAAGACTGAGAAACTCAACTCGCAGGCATCTGATCAAGGCAGTCTTCTCACAGTTGCTTTGCAGCATAGTTTCGTTGTTTCAGCTGTTCTAACATGCTTCTGTGATTCATTTGCTTCTTTTGATGGCATGAAAGGTTAATGAAGCTGCTAATTTTGTTTTTGTGCAGTTAATTGAGTAGGAGCCTGGTATATATGACAGATGCCATGCAGACTGTGCTAGGTGGGACAAAATAGATTTGGCTTTGGAAAGATTCTCATGAGCTCTGAGCAGAGCAGAAGACACTTCACTGAGATTGGTGATGCGAGTGTGTATAACATTGAAGAGAAAACATCCGAAGACGTTATAAGTGTGAATAATTGTATTTGTGTTTGTAAAGATTGATTGTACAATAAATATTCATCCAAATCCAACACCCACGTAGGGGCTGTACCATAGCTCAAATGGTTAGTCGCTGGCTTCCCACTGCGGCGGCCTTGGTTTGATCCCGTGCCTGGTCAAGTGGGATTTGTGGTGGACTAAGTGGTGCTGGGGCAAGTTTTCTCTGAGTACTTCGGTTTCCCCTACCAATCTTCATTCCTCCAAATTGCTCCACAATCACCCTCACCTATAGTCTGGGGCTGGTACAATAGGCCAGAAGTGGCCGCAGTACAAGGGACTTAGTCCTACCCCACTAGCAATAAAAAAAAAAGACCCACATAAATTTTCTTGTCGCATTACCTAGGAAACAAATGACAATGTATAACATTCCTTCAGATATTTCTGTTTAGAATATGTAATCATCTCATTTGATATTAAATGACTTCTCCATTTCATCAGACATCTTTAAGTAACTACCACACCACTAAACTACAGTGTCATATAAATGTAAAGTTGTCCCTGTTCTTATCTAATTAAGCACTATGTCATGAAAGTGCATGGAGGGGTGGATGTATAGATCACATTTTCTTGACATCAGCACTAGTTGAAGGTGAGTGGCCATCTTCATGCCCCGGCCACTTTACCCCCAGTACGCTTTGGGTAGGAGGCTAGGTGTGCCCCAGAACTGGTCTGGACTATGTGGGGAACAGAAAATTCTTGATGTTACCAGGACTTGAACTTTGACCCCTCAGTCGTCCAGCCCGTAGCCAGTCACTATACCAACTACACTATCCCGGCTTCCAAGGTTTCATATTCACAAAGAAATTTAGATATCGCTGAACAGGTGTGCACAGAGATTAACTTTGATACTAAAGTGTAAAGTTTTACATGTTGCAGGTTGCATGTCCAACCCTATGTACCAGTCCATATACAAACTGGCAGAACATGTTAGAAGCCATACTCAGGAGAAACTTGTGGGATGTCCAACATGTGGTGGGCTCTTTGCAAACAGAACAAAGTTCTCATACCACTGTATGCATCAGGTTCCCTCAGAATGTAAGTGATAAACATTTATGCACACACACACACACACTGCATGCACATGAGAATGAAAGTTGAAATTTAAGATAGTATTTTAGATCAGATGTTTGGAAGTGTGTGATATCTTTTACCTTGTGCAACAGTATTGAGTATATGATGAGGTGGTTTGTTACAGTGCGAAGGAAGCAGTATCCGTCTAAGAAAGTGGTACAGTACCATGTCAAATGCCCCTTCTGTAACAAGTCTTGCTCTTGTCCATCAAACCTTAGTGTGCACATTCGGTATAGACACTTGGATAGCAAGCCATTCAAGTGCAGCTCTTGTGAATATAGGTGAGTAGAAGTCTCCTTACCCTCACACTGACCTACTGAGCTACTTGGCTCAGATGGTAATACTCCTGAATCTTATTCAAGAGGTGCTTGCCTCTAATCTGAGCAGGAACACCAGCTATTCTGGTAGACTTTTTTCATGGTTCTTCCAGGCCCTCAAGACATAACTGGGATGGTACCTCAAATTAGGCCATCACAAGCTCCTTGCAGATTCTTTCCACTTGGCAGCACACACACACACACACTGACATATTTACAAAGCATTATTAAATAAACTATAAGCAAATAATTCAACTGTGCAAACTCCATCTGACTAATATTGCTTGAACCTCTTCTGGCAAATTAGCTGTCCTAGTTGTGGTCTGAGTTTTTCCAGGTGAATCATGAGAGAATTTCAGGTTGTCAGTAACCATTTTCACTTCACCATTTATGATCGCCTGCTCATCTCCAGGAAATATTTTTACTTTGTGAACCGGTTCCACGGTTCTGCACTTTATGGCAGCCGGTGCACTGCTTGATGATGAATCACCATGCCTGATGGTTGATAACATTTGGAATGAAGGAAACTTCTTACCTTTGTTCACAGATCACAGGTGTTGTTGAAAATGCTGTCCCTCTACATGTAGACGCACTGGCCGAAGAGGTTCTGATTTAGCCTTTGAAGCTGTTCCGCGGGAATATCTGCAATTTCAGTATGAATGTTTTCTTTAGTGCTTCTGTTTGGGGTTGACTGTTGTAAACTTTGTTGTTCAAACAACCCCAGAAGAAGTCATAAGGATTAAGATCAGGTGAACATGCTCACCAAATACCACTGCTGATAATTCTGTTCCCAGAGACATCGGATAAAGCCTGCATTGACATATATGCAATGTGAGCAGTCACTGAGTCTTCCTGAGACCAGCCATAGAGTCTTTCTTCATCTGTTAATCCTAAAAAGAACACCCTGAGAGTGACTGTACATATCTGTCACATTTAATAGTTTCGTTAAGCACAGGTCCAGTAATCCTTGCACTTAAAGCACACCAGACACCAAATTTCAGTGGATGGAGCGGGACTCCATGGGTTAGATGTGGATTCTGTGAACTACAGTTGTGATTATTTTGTGTATTTATGTATCCCTGCAAGTGAAACCACACATCATCAGAAAAGAATGACAAATGCAATTCGATCTCACTTTCGATGATAGACTATGGAAACCAGCTACAAAAATAAACCGTGCTAGTTGAATCGTGCAGCTGCATGGCATGGAATACTGTGGTTTTATGGGATCTAAGCTTCAGCAATTGTGTTGCTCTTCTTTGACTAGACTTCGACACTCCTGACTCTCTTGAGCTAGACATTTCAGTGATTTTCTACATGTATGTTCAAGTCTGGCCCCTATGTCATTTGTTTGTTTTTTATAAGGATCCCTTAGTTCTAAGTTTATTCACCAAATTTTGAATTGTGTGTATGCTGGGAACTCTTTCATCACAAAATTTATGTCAAAATTTTCGCTGACACTTTCTAGCAGATCCATACAGAAACACACACTGCTCTAATAAAGTTTACTGAAGCATGATGTACCACACTGCTCACTGACTGCAACTAAAAATAAATGGCTAATGGAGCTGACAACTGCTGCCTACTGCTGACAGATCATGAACAAACTCCCATACATAAACCACACTGCTTGCCATGTAACACAATGCCATCAAGCATGCTGATTCATTGAAATAATTGGTATGCGCCTTGCAGCAAGCAGCACACCAGCCACTGTGAAGTGCAAAGCCATGGACAAAGTAAAAATATTCCCTTTGAAACAGTGTTAAATAACCAAAAATTACTTATGACAGACTCTTAAATTAGCCTGTCACTTGGAAAAAGACATTCTGTTTTGTACTCTTGTGTGAGAATGAGGAGCACGCAAGTAGCACCTTTGTCTGGTAACTAATTGACATTCTCAGTGAAGCAAACTGTGTGCATTATCCTGCTGCCAGTCATTTCTGCCCACATATTGACTCTACTGAAGCGTGATGTTCCTGCTTAAAGTGTCCCTTTAAGTTAATTTAATAGTGAGAAGTACTTCATGTAATTTGATTCAAGATTTTCTCCATAGCAGACATTTGATTTACTGAATACTTAATGAGGTGCTTGTAAAAGTTAATTGAAGTCAAACAGCACTCCTAGTTGTCAGAAGTGATCGGAAAATGAAGGTTAACAGTGTAATCTTTTTGATGTTTATTTTGCTTCAGAGCCAAGACACACCATGATCTGAAGGTGCACTGGAATACACACCGCTCTGACCCACTTTACCGCTGTAAGGAGGAGGGGTGTGATTTCTCGTGTCGCAGTGCCTATGGACTTCGCAGGCATTGTGACAGGGTATGTGAATTCATATGTGATTTCATTGTATGAAGAAACCTTTGGGGATGAACTCTCCACATGAAATGGAAAAGTATCTTCATAAAGGCTTTTGTTTCAGTGTTGTTGGTATTCTTAGGTTTTGTTGCACTGCCACTCAGCATCAGTATTCTGATCAGTAGGCACACTTGTAGTTTGAGGACTCTGTTGTTCCAAAACTGAACAGTTCTGTTAAAACTGCCTCTGTCTCTCTGGCATGCCATGTTTGTTTCGGTTTTGGAAGAAGAGAATGGGCTTCAGTCACAGCTTTGTTTTGAGTCGCTTGTTCTGCAAGCTTGGCAACTGGTGCTTCACATCCTGATGGTATTCATATGCCTTCTGGTTGAATCTCCATGAAGTAGTCCAGTCACCCATGTCAACTTCAAATATCATCTGTAACAGGCTTCCAGTTTTGTGGTGAAATGCTGTTGAGGGAGAGATTTGTTGTTCCTCCCTCAGTGAATGACATCTTTATTATTCATGTGCATAAAGTACACCACTCATGGCAATGTGAGATATCAAATCATTGAACCAAGACCAATGAAGCAAACACTGCAGGATCTCGTACTTAATGCTGCTGTTGGAACAGTGGCAAGTTGCTTGAACTGGCTTTGAAGCAGATCGTATAGAGGTTAAATTAAGGAGGTCATAGTGGCTGGCCACCAAATAATTCACTGGTACTAGAATTCTGACTTCTGCTTGCTTGTGTGATTGCTGATTGGTATGATAATTCATTTCTCACTTGGGGAGTGTGCCCACTAGTGGATAGTCCTGAATGTGCTAATTCTGTTCCCTCTGGGCACACTTCCTCCATGTCAGAATGATTAGTATCTCTGCAAGTATAAAAATGTTTCCACTGTCCTAATTGCAAGTAACAATTTACATAAGTATAACAGTTGAGAACATGAAACTGATTTTATTGGTTTCAACTAGCTTCATAAGTCCAGTGTAGATGATATGTATGCTATTGTGAAATGTTGTACGGGTGCATCATGTTATGTTTTCGCGAGATGTATAGCTGAGTTTCCATGAGGGGGGGGGGGGGGAAAAAGAAGAAGAAGAAGAAGAAGAATAATAATAAAAACTGCAACTGGCTTATACTTTGCAACTCAGATGAAAGCTCCTGTCAACTGTTAGAAGAGAAAACCTTGACCTGTATACAGGCAACCTATAAATTGAAGGAAGTACTGACAGATTGTTAGTATGTGACTTCAAAAAACTAGCAAACTTTTTTGCAACAGTAAGTGCATGTAGGAATAGCGGTAGTTCTCATAATTGTATGTTCACTGTACTTTAAATTATTAATCATTCATAAATTCTAAAATATTTAAAACTTCTAAAACACTTAACAATTAAATGTATCAACAAATCAGATACAATCCAAATAATCATCCACTAATTTGTGTTGTACATGTAGATTGACTAACTGAACTTGGCCAGTGTATACCTAACCACAGCAATGCTGACAGTAAATGCAGAATAGCCTGTTTATGTCCATTGTGCCAAGACATGTTCTGACAATAAAGATGTTTGTATAATTATATAGTTATATACAATATCTCTATTGACAGAACCTCTGCTATGTGTGTACTGTTTTCTTGTCATTGTTCTGAAAATTAATTTCAGCATGAAATTTTTGTACATCGTAATAACATGTTGCTTTATGCTGTTGGTGTTTTAGTGCCATGCTGGATGTGATCAGCCACAGTACTGCTGCCACATATGTGACAGCCTGTTCCAACGTGGATCTCTGCTGACACGTCACCTCCGTAAGCGACACAGCATCTGCCGGCCATCAGGGCAGTGCAGATTTAGGTGGGTACAGCTCATAAAAAGTTACTTTTGTCTTTGTGACAGATATAATCCTAGGGCTTCACAGTGTTGCTGTGTTTATAGACGTAATTTGCGTTCTGAAACCATTTTCATTTAAGCTGTGTGGATATGATTACAATCTGTATCACTACACAAAATTTCACATTCCTAGTTACATTCAGTGCATACTACATTCGGTAGTTAATTGCCTAATGTAAAGTTGAACCACATGATGGAAGGTACATCTACATTGTCAGATCCAATTTATTTATCCCACCAAATTAACCAGGAGCAGCACCAAATTCAATGAACCAAACCAAATAATGATCTTTGCAGGTAATCTAAATCTGTCTCAGTAACAATCACAGCTTTTGGAATCAAGGTTACAACAATGAAAATCTCTGCTAAGGGCATGACAGTTTCTGGATTTAGAAAAAGAAACCAAAAGCTATTGGCATTTTATATATTTAAGAGAGTTTTTATTAGTGCATTTACATAGTAGACTGGGGGAAAACTGAGATTTCAACACAAGCTGAAGAATGATAATTATTCTTAGACTTGTTCAAAGTGAGGAACAAAGGTCTTCATTACCCAGAGCCCATGCCCTTGGGAGAAAGGAAGCTTCTAGTACAAGGTGCAGTACCCACCATTAAGTATGAAATATAGTCTGTAAGTCAGCAATTACAAGCATGAACATGGGTGTGAAATATAAAGCTGCATCCAGCAGATTTAAGGTAAACAGAATCTGTACTTAATAAGTTCTTTACACACAGAATTACTCGGTTTTTGGATTTTTTCCATTGTCCGGGATTCTAGAAAATAGAAAACATGACATTTCGGAAACTGCATCTGTTTCCGTTTTCAGGTGAAAAGGGGGAAACACCTATTCAGTTGGGCCCCTTAGAAAGAGATAATCTCAAAATCTCAATCACTGGACAACCTCTGTCAGATTTACAACCTGTTTAATCACCTGAAACCAGGTTAATTCAGCCTAACAAGAAAATATACTTTAAAAACTGTGATAAATCATGCACATGCGTGGAACTAGGGTAGAAAAGGAGGTAGAAATTTGTGCTGCATACCTAACAAACAAACCCAGGTGCATGTGCACCAATGCAAAGAAATGCAAAAAAAATTTTTTTTTTTGGGAAGATCACTAGCATCATCTGTGGAATAAAACGTGAAAACTTGAGACAAATCTTATGGAAACCTATGTGGAATCTGTCATGTCTTACAGATCTCTGTGGGTTAGAAACCTCATTGCTGATGAGGGGTATCCAGATAGGAGAAATGTCCAAACTGGGTTGGTTAAGCATGCCATGTGGGCCAATTCCTTATATTTTTTTTACATTCTGTTTCCAAAATCCTAGCATGATCCCAGCCTACTCTGTGGCCCTCTTTATAGGCATGTTGAGCTAATTTTAATTTTTCTAGAAGACCTTGTTGGAGATTGTGCCTATTTTCACGGAGCCGCACGGCTCTACATGATGACTTCGACCTGCAAGACAAACCATTCCACCAGTGTGTCATTGTTGTGGAGCTTATTTCTTATGATTTGTAGGGCTTCGTTGACTGGAACATTGGTGAAAAGACTGATGTCAAAGCTAATGAGGGTCTCTGGAGATTGAAGATTTACAGACTTCAACAACAGTATGAAGTGGCCCGAATTCTTAACAAAGGATTCTGATTTTCCAGCAAGAGTAGTTAGTATCTTATGAAGAAAGCCAGCCAGAGCATAGCAAGGGGAACAAATAGAGCTCACTATAGGCCTCAGAGGAATGTCCGGTTTGTGGATCATGGGAAGACCATATAGATGTGGAGGTTTGCTGTGGTATAGAGCCAACTTGTGTTTTAGATCAATAGAGAGGGTAGTTTTGTGCTCAGAAGGGGTTTCTGTAGTTTCTGCTCAACTTTAGCTGAAGGATCTTTTGGCAAGGGTTCATAAACCCCGGACTCAAGCAAAATGTTTGACTTTTCTCCCGCTGAATTAGCCTGGTGTCAGGTAGTTAAATAGCTATGTAAATTTTACAGGGGTTGTCCAGTGATTGAGAATAGCTCTTTCTAAGGGGCCCAACTGAGTAGGTGTCTTCCCCCCCTCACCTGAGGATGGAAACAGATTTAGTTTCTGAAACGTCATGTTTGTTTTCTAGAATACTGGATGATGGAAAAAGTCTAAAAACCCAGTAATTCTGTGTGTTGTACGCCATTTTCAGAACCCTTTAGAATCTACAAGTTCTTTACAGTAATAATAGTGATAGATATCTAGGGCTAGCAACCTATGCAATGGTGAAGCGGGCTTTATGAATTCTGCCCAGAACTGCTAGTTTATCAGGTGGACTGTTGGATCCAGAGGCTTCAGTTGATAAAAGCTTCCATCTGAAAGTATGATATTGGTTATCAGATCAAAACTCAAGCTACATTCCTTCAGATAAAAAATCATTACAAGTGACATAAAACATAACAGTTTGAGACATATATTGTTTCCTTGGTGTGGAAATTCAGGGACCCAGTTCCTTGCAGTGCGTCTCAAAATAATTCTGTGTTTTATGAGGGATCTGCGGAAAGTAAAGATACAAATCCAGTAAAAATGCAAGGAAAAGTCTTTTTTCAGAAATAGCATTGCTGCCATGTGAGATAGGAAACATGACAGGGCAGAGTTCACCAGCCTCAGTCATGACAGTGTTGTGCTATGGTGTGTCTTTAAAATGGCTATGTCAATTCAAAATCCTGCCAAATGTGAGGTTTGTGCAGTAGTTCAACCTCTTCACGCAAAAGGAGAAACTGCTGCTGAAATTCATCACCAACTTGTTTCTGTTTATGATGAAGATGTTATGAACAGGCAAAATGTACAAAATGGTATCGTGAATTTGAAGCAGGAAGACCTCATGGTCATGATGAAGTCATCCAAAAAATTGAGGAAAACATTCATGCTGACAGAAGTTTAACCATCGGTGAATCTTTTCGGATGATGATGATGAGGTTCAAGATGCGGTCATGACATGGCTAAGAGAGCAGGCGGGAGATTTCTACAATGCTGGAATAAAAAAAAAAAACTTATTCCCAGGCTCAATAAGTGCCTGGGAATCGTGGTAACTGTGTTGAAAAGTGCTACAAGTGAATAAATGCTTTACAAATATTTTCTTGACTTTGTATCTTTACTTTCTGAGTATGCTTTGTATCTTGCTGGAACCTTAGAGGTAATGGAATTATTATTATAACCCAACTCAACTGTTGCAGGTACAAGCAGGCTGAGGATGGCTTGTTCCGTCTTCTGACAACAGGCACTGAAACCATGAAAGTGACTCAGAATATAATGATTTTGGAAGCCAGTCAGCCATTGTGCAGCAGTGAAGATGACCTCCTGACACAGGAGGCAGGAGGGGCAATTTTGCCATCATGATAAAAGAACATGATGACAGTGGGATTGTTGTGTCCAGGGAAGATGCTGAAGGGGCCCTGCATCAGTAGTTCTCAATCAAAACTTCACGAGGTATACGTGTCAGTGGTCCGGTGTTAAAAAGCAAGTCAAAAGAATTGGCTAAAAAGCTGGGTCATAATGATTTCAAGCAACAGATGGTTGGTTTTTTCAATGGAAATGCAGGTTTGGCATAAAATTCAAGAAGGCACACAGCACTATGGAAAGTGCTGATGCTGTAATTGCTGAATAACGGAAATCCACAGAGATGCCGAACTTCAGAAATTTTGCGCACCTGATATCTATACAGTGCCGCTGAAACATTTATTTTATTATGCCATCCCAGACGGTTCCATAAGCTACAGACACACAATTCTGTCTGGTTCAAAGAAAGCACTGGATTGTGTAACAAGTGTTGTGAAGTTCAACCATGTCAGGAACCGATAAACTGAAGCTGTTCATTATTGAAAAAAGGACTAGCATGGATGGTACATGAATTTTTTAAGAAATGGCTACGAGTTCAGACATGGAATTACAATGGAAATCGAGAACAATTTTGGGTGTACTTGACAAACTGAAATTTCTGTCTCCCAGCATCACATCCCTGGTACAACCAGTGGACAAGGGAATCATACTGAATTTGAGAATCTTATGATATGATGGGCAAATTTCAGGAGTGAATGAAAATATGGCCCCCAAAAAAGCTCCTTTCCAAGAAACTAAGTGAATCAGACTGAGCAGGCTGGTGGTTAGCTTTACTTTTGAGCCTACAGATCTGACCTACAAACCTGTATTAATCTGTGTGGCGCAGTAAAGTGGGCACAGGCACAGTAAAATAGTAACTCAAATGAAATTTTAAAGTAGAATGAAGAAGCAGGGTGGTGGGAGAAATGAAAGAAATGAGACAGAATTTAAATATTGTTACAAAAATAATATGAACAACTGAAAAATATGATATGGGCCCATTTTGAGAATGAATAAAACATGATCCCAAAGAGAGCTCCTGTCCAAGAAACTAAAAAAAATGCCTATGAAGAAGCCTGAGATCAGGACAGAGACAAGTCAGGGAAGATGTCATGCAGAAGGAAGGAAGAACATCGGAGGATCTTGATGAGAAGTAGCTTTGGGAAAACAGAGATACATGGAAGAGGCAAGAGGGAGGACATCTCTCAAAAGTCATTATCGAAACATCATATGGTACAATGGAAATGGAGCAAGAAGGCAAGAATAAACAAACAAATAGAACATAGAGATCTTGTTTAGCTCAGCTGCTTACAATTCTTGCTGTCAGTGTAACAACATTAACATGCATCTGAGGCATACAAAGTATGGTTATGTGAATGGGACTGAGCAGACTAATGGTCAGGTTTACAGTCGTGACCACAGATCTGAGCATCTGATAATACTACAGAGAAGGTTATGGTCACTGTGTGCAGGGAAATCTCACCTTTTTGGTCATAGTATAGTTGAGCCTGTATTCTCTCGTGTGCTGCCTTTTGGCATCCAAATCTATTTCCAAGTTCCTGATATATTCACTGTATGACTGTTGGGTTGTTATTAAGTGCTTCAGGCACTTTATTACCTTTTCTTTCTCTGGTAAAAACTTCAGTTTTTCCCTGAGCTTAATTAATTAAGCACTATGCCATGAAGGCGTATAGGGGAGTGAACCTTGACCTCAGAACTTGTGTTGGAGGTGAGTGGTCAGCTTCACGCCCCACCTGCTTTATCCTCCGGGGAAATATTCCCAAGTACTCACTGAATAGGAGGTTGGGTGGACCCCAGAGCCTGTCTGGATGAAATCAAGAAGTGAAAATTCTTGACCCCACCAGGACTTGAACTCCAACCTCTCGGTTGTCCAGCCTGTAGCCAGTCGCTATACCAACTGCATTACCCCAGCTCTCTGGTACTAATTCCTTTTTTTTGGCAAACTTGATCCTTCTTTTTAAGTGCATATTCCCTGCATGTAGATCAGCTTCTGCTGTATAATAAAACCAGAGCTTAAGTGTCTTCAGAAATTCCACTTGACCATAGTCCTGCAATACAATGCACACAGATATTTCTGTACAGGATACTTAAAGACTCTATATTAGATCGTAAGATGAGGGCGTCAAGCTAACATATTCTTTGTTTTTTCTTCCTGCATCTTACACATGATGTTAAATCTTGCATTAAATATTTATTTAATGTATTTAGACCAAGGATAAAAACATACAAGTCAGTGAACTTCATTAACTCATTTGTGGAGAGTGGGCAAGCATATTTCTGGAGTCCCAATGCAAACATAATGCAGGATGGAGCAGGGAAAGAGGAGATTTTAAAAACTAATTAATTATGTAAAAAATTTCAGTTTGCCAGATTACAAATACACCATCTTAAAGCACAGTATGCTGTTTATTTGTTGAAGATGATGTCCTTGAGGTAACCCATCTCTGACGAGCATTCCTCTAATAGTCCGCACATTTCCCATGACAGTGTACCATCTATGAATGAATTCCAGCGATTTCTTCATGAATTCTTTCTTTAGGTTCCTGGATACTGTGTGTGCAATGAGCATACACTTTGCGTTTTAGGTGGCCTCAAGAAAAGTCATGCTGACAGGTCTGACAACCTTGAAGGCCAAGGAATGTCTCTATTCCTGGAGACGATGCAGTTATAAAAAATCAGCTGTATGGTGTCCACTGACACCCTGGCTGTATGGGACATCATGCCATCGTGTTGAAACCAACTGGCCTCATTAACCTGGGGAAACCTAGTAGCTAGTTCATCAGTCAAGAAAGTTGTGACTATTGGCATACTCCCATTATTATGTTCAAGAAAGTATGGACCGATAATGTCATGGGATGATGTGGCACTCCACACTTTTACCCAGTCACCATGCAACGGTCATTAACATAGTTGGTGAGGGTTTTCTTCCAACTAATAATGAAAGTTCTGTTTATTTAGAAAACAGCATAGACGAAGGTGAACTTCAATAGACATGCACAGATTGTGAACAAAGTCTTCATCACAACCTACTTCAGTTAGATTTTCTTGACAAACATTTTTACAAGTAAGGAAACCCTGAGCACTACCTGTACCTTGCAAGGATGGGAATTTAAGTCCTGGTGCAGTATTCACTATACATTCCCATAGGATAAGTTCAACGATAGTGCATGTCAACGTGCAAAACACTGTGGACTGCGCATGAGTGGTCCTGACAGCTGCAAGGTTTTCTGATGTACATGCACTTCTTATTTCACCCAGAGGATTCTTTTTGACAGCAGAACCAGGTTTTCCAAAGTTGTGTGCCCATGATTTAATGGCATTAGCAGACAGTACAGGACCACAGCACTGAAGATTAAAGTGAACACAAACTAAACATTACAGTAAAACTGCACTGTCCACCACTCCACTGTTCCATGGTAAATAAATGGTGTGATGTGGACCAGAGGATGTCAGGTGAAGCAATCCCACTGACACCTAGAAAACCAGTTTTTACAATCGCTCATTTCAGAGTTCTACTCTTTACATTACATGTAGGAACTAGCATTACCTGGATCCAAAACATGGACTCTGCAGGAAAGAGGTAAGGAAGGATTTGAGGTTGAAGAAATGAAATTTCTGACAAAAATTGGCAGGCTTCTCAGGAAGGGACCATACAGTGAATAGTATTATAAGGAGATAAGTTGGGGAAGCCATTGCAGGAGATGCTGAATGATACTGACGACACTGGAGAGATCACCTGCCAAGAATGGATAACACATGACATAACAGCTCTTAAGATGGAAAATTATTATAAACACACAAGGAGAGGGGAGTTATTGAGGATAAAGAGCAATGATGTACGATTTTAGATTCTCACAGCAGTGGTTATGAAGAGTTCTGTCTCTTGGGATATACACCGCATTGTCAGTTGAAAGTCAACCAACGTTTCAGAGGAACATGTTACATCCATCTTCAGAGTTGAAGAATAAGATGGGCAAGAAGCCAGCATGAAGGACTTAGCAAGCAGTTTATTCTTAGACCCTGAAGAATAAGGTGACTCATTACTCTGCAACATTAGTTGGCATAATGATGGTCATCTCAACTTTTGAGTACCATGTGACTTTGTGTTCCATAACTTGCCATCTGTGCAACAGAATGCTGCAATATAATACTGAGTACCATGTCATGCTGCACATATTCCATACAAAGTAAATACATTATTTCTGCAATAGTGTGTGAACACACACACACAATCACTCTGAAACCATAAGCTATCAGACCTTGGACTTTTGATTCCGAGGTCCTACAAGATCCATTTATAAAAACTTTCAATTCTCATTCTGTATCCTGATTAAGTTCTTTTGAAACAGTATAAACACCTGAGTTTAAATTGTCACAAAAGAACAGGTGCGCCCAATGTTTCCTTTTCACCTATCTTCTCCTACACTGTCTTAACCACCATATCATTACAGGAACAATATTATTTTCTGACATTGCAGAAGAGAATTGTACAAAATTGGCAGGCAAACAGACCCTCTTGAGATGACGTGAGTAACTAATCGAACGTAAGTTTCCTCAGCGTGTGCCTACTAATTTGGAAACCAGTTGCCTGTTCGAAATTGGTGATACTTCCTGGAAATAGCAGTTGCGTTGCGGTTACCAGTTTCCGGGGCCACATGAGCGCACACAATGCGTCCGTTGTAACGAACGTACTTTATGACGGACGTTGCTGAGGACACCACACAGTTGCAGAATGCAGTGCGTAGTTTTTGTCTGCAATGGAGCCAGAAGAAAGCGTTTTTTTTTATTGCTAATGGGGTGGGACTAAGTTCCTTGTACTGTGGCCACTTCTGGCCTATTGTACCAGCCTCAGATGATAGGTGAGGGTGATTGTGGAGCAGTTGGTGAAATGAAGATTGGCAGGGGAAACCGAAGTACTCTGAGAAAACCTGCCCCAGCGGCACTTTGTCCACCACAGATCCCACTTGACCAGACCCGGGATTGAACCCAGGACGCCACGGTGGGAAGCCAGTGACTAACCGCTTGAGCTATTGCGCGGCCAGAAGAAAGCTATTTTAACAAGTATGAATCTCATAAAATTTCTTGGCTTAAATATCCAAAATGAGATAACCTGGGATAGGCACATAGATGAGGTCATAAAGAAATTAAATACAGCTTGCTACATGATAAGAAACTTGAAACCAATAGTATCTACAAAAACTCTAATATCATGACATACAGATTAATGTTTTGGAGTAATTCGTCATGTGCCGAAAGAATATTTAAGTTACAAAAGAGAGCTATCAGAATAATAAAAGAAAGTAGTTATAGAGAATCATGCAGAGAACACTCTAGAAACATGAATATACTTCGATTAAGATCACAGTATATATATTCCCTGTTAACATATGAGTAAAAAATAGAGAAATATTTTAGATAAACAGGGATGATTATGAAATAAACACCAGGCATAATATGGATATGCATATGAACCAGGCAAACTTGATGAAATATGGCAATGGAGTATTTCACATAGCTGTGAGGATGTACAATGCATTGCCCAGTGAAATTAAAACAACAAATAATTTTAAACATAACTTAAAGGACTTTTTTATACTAATCCATGTTATACAGTGAATGAATTTTTATTAAGAGATAATCATTGTACAAATGCATAAGTATATGAGATGCTGAGTAGAATATTTAATGACTTTAATAACTAGAATACAATTATAATTATTTTAGTAGAATAATATATGATGTATTTATTTTATATATTTTTAAAAATCTAGTATACAAATATAATATATTTAGTAGAATGTATATGATGAATTCACTTTATATCATAGAACTGTATGATCAATATTTGTTATTTTATGTAAAAATCTCATCTTGAATTTTATTTTTAATATTTAAATATTAGAGAATAACTTTACTGTGATGTAAACAATTTTTGTTACGAATTATACATGATTTTATTAGACAATTGCTTGATTGTATTAGCAAGATAATTGGACACAATTCTGTATCTAGGCTTCGGCCTCAAATGGATGTGATGGAACAACAAATTAAAGTTAAAGTTGAAGCGTGGCATTCGCCTCCCTTGTTTATTTCTACAGTGGACGTATTTCATGCGCTCCTGTGGCTCCTGTGTGAGGGTGCACCAAGAAACTGGTACCGCAACGGAACGGCAATTTCCGAGAACTGTAATCAGCCTGATTTGAACACATGTTATTTCCTGGTGCAGCGGAAATTGAGAAAACTGCGTTGGAATTGCAAGTTTCCTTGGTGTGCCTTCGCCATTATTCTTACAGGGCTGACAACTGCAAGGACTGCAAGGTTTTATACGTCTAAGTCGGTCGAAGTGGTTGAAGTGGTCAAAGTGGTCTAAGGAGCAAATTATATTGTCGGTTTCCATCCTAACGGCCACGAACGTCAGGAAGTAAGTTGCAGAAGGGTGAAAGCATGTTGGTGTTTCCGAATGTAAGAAGACTCACATCAACATTATTCGCAGCTGACTGAAAAGACTATTATTATTTCATGAGGTTGCACAAGAGGGAATGTTCGTGCTTCCCATTGTAAGACCACATATATCAACATTATTTGCAGCAGACTTCGTGTAAAAAGGTTACGTGGAAGTGGAGTTGGAACTGTTCTTTTGCCGTAATGAATATATAATTGAAAAGACTTTTATTAATGCATGGGCTGAGTATTTATGGATGTATATTCTTATAATAATATATATTTGAGCTCCATCTTCTCCCTGCTTTTCAAACGTCCCATTTTTCTTCGCTTTCATAGAGCCCAATTTTTTTGTTACACATTTGTTACATACAATCTGCAGTATATGTATATGTTCAATAAATACTGGCTCGCGAATGAGTTTTGCCCAGTGGCGTAGAGTTTGGACATGTATCTTTTGAGTCTTTGTGTAGTTTTGCTGTTGTCTACCTACAAGGTTCAGTACTAGTGCATTAATGTGGTTTTGTGCTTTTCTTAATTAAGTGGTATTCCGCTTCTTTATTTTTTTGAGCACTTTGTTTGTAGAACTTCATGATTCTATGGTTGTTTATGTACCAAGGTGCGTTCAGAATGGATTGGGAAGTCTTGAATTGAAAGCGTTGGAGGATTTCGATGTTGGAATTGGAAGCTGTCCCCCATGGCTGAACTGCATAGGTCCATATAGGTTTGAGTGCAGCTTTGTACAGGAGGAGTTTGCATCCTGTTGATAGTGTTCATCATCTTTCAAGTAGCCAGTGTATTTGTTTTGCTCTGTTTTCTTTTGGTTTAGATATGCTTTTCCCATGTCAGTGTTCTATTGAGATTCATGTCCAGGTATTTCATTTCATTTTTCTAGGGGTAGATCAACATTACCCATTTGCACTGTTGGACAGGTTTGGTTGCTTAGGGTGAATGTAATATGCATGGATTTGATTTGATTTATTTTAGTTCTCCATATCTTTCACCCAATTGTCGATCTTATTGATGGTGGCGTGTAGTATCATTGAGGCTATCCCTGGATCTTTATGTGTGGCTAAGATTGCTATAAAGCACAATAGATCACTGTAGGTCACGGTGCAAGGGCCGAGAAGGCCCACACCTTATACATTCAAGAGTGCTGTATCATTGGCGAAGGTAGCACTTCTGTTTTCCAATGGCAATTCCTCTGTAGTGTTTTCACTAGACGTTTCATAGTAACGGATCTTAACACTGGAGGTTCTTCAGCTGTCTTCATTAAGTTGTTGCCCACTGGTTATTTCTCCACACCTGAATTCTAAACTGAACTTCTGACAACTCTTCACAACAAAAGATTATTTCATCAAACCATCATGCTTATTATATCTCAGCACTGATCACACCATTTCTATTATAGTCCAATAATACTTTGACAGTAAATGGGCGTTTGTTTATCTGCCTGTTGCATAGCAACAGCAGGATGGGGTTGGTATGGACTGGATTCATCTGGCTGAGGATAGGGACCAGTGGAGAGATCTTGCAAACATAGTGATGAAACTTTGGGGTTAAAAAAAAAAATTGGGGTCATTTTTTAGTACATGAGCAACTGGCAGCTTCTTGAGGACTGTGCTCTATGTAGTTGAAATAAAGCCTTACATTTCATTCTAAGTGTATGACTAATAAAGGGTTAATCCAAAGGGGAAGAACAATAGATCATTGAAGGTTACAGTGCGAGGGCTGGATTTTATGGCTCACCCCTTACATACATCTGTGTAATTAATTATATAAGCTTGGGGCCATGCCATTCTTTATTTTTTGTCAGTTGTTTTGTGGCTATGTGTTTTGCTGTCCAATGTGCAGTGACACACATCCTGTCCTTTCATAAGTAGTCGTTTATATTATGTGTGTATCCAGACATATCACATAATTTATTAATACATTTTTATTTTTATGTTTCTTGGATATGTACTGTTTGAAATTACCTCCTTGTGAAGACTACAGTAACTTTGTGCACAGTCAAATGTTCAGGAGGGGGACATATTTCAAACATGCCCATTTCAACAAGTCATAATTACTATAGTTACCATAGTTTGGGCCGTTATTGGCAAGGGGATTGTCAGAGTTTGAAAAGTGCAGAAATCTAAGAATGTGAGGAACTCTGTCACCTCCCATTGTTCTGCCAAAAAAGGGCAAAAAGAAATGTTGAGTAGACAGACAGTGGTCTTTCAGGTTGACACATCCATCGTGTCCCATTTAACTAATAGTCAACAAAAACATAAACATTTCAGAATCAGTGATGTCAAGTGCAGGAGGAGGTCCATCATCAGGGAGGTCTTAATTATTTTTGGTATCATAATTAGGTTTCCTGCACCAGCAAAATACTCATGTGAGGAGTCGAGTCTTTGTATGTTTTGTCCTGTATTGGTGACTAGACACGAGGTTTGGCTTGGGAATTGGATTTATAGAACACTTAGAACTCACAGCTAAACGTAATTATAACGCTATTGCTACCAAAACTCCATTGTGGTCTGTCTTGTTATTACTATTATTTTGTTGCTGCCATCAGTTATAATTCCATCCACATCTCATTGTGAGTGTTCAAAACCTCTGAAAATTCCTTATGAACCTTGAGGTTCTGATTTGTTTGCTCATTGTAACAATCTGTCCCCCCCCCCAATCTGTTTTACTTGCCAATCCTACATTCATTATTACAGAAGCCTGGTCACTGGTGGTTTAGGGTTGACTAATTTATGTTGCGCTGTATCTGCATGTATTGGGAAGTTTGTGTGCCTCCTGGAAATATAAGTACAATCTTCTGTAAAATGTGATACGCTTAAATGTCAAGTATAATCAGTATGTTTCTTTTCAGGACCTATGCAAGTACATCCATGTAAATGCACTGCAGTGAACTGTGCAGCTATGTCACGAGGATTGTTGTAAGCCACTTTCTTATGCATCTACCAATCAGTCATGTCTGATGAACACCTTTTAAGGTTAAGAAAGATTATGCAGTCTCTTGCTACAAGAGTGCCAAAAATTATGCTGCAGAGAGTTGAGGAAGTATATCCTCTTCTGAAGGAAAGCTTGGTGGGTGTTGTGTACTTTTGTGAATCAGAAAATATTTTCTGATGGTTTTGTTTTTAATTTTTTGTTTCCTGTTTCCTCATTTTATTAAGAATGGCTTGTGCACATTACAAGGGAAAAGTGGTAACATATTATGAATTTCATTTAATGTGACTATGTGCAGCGTATTGGGATTGGAATACTTTCCAATTCTGTTTTGTACAGAATAGCTATAACTGAAGTTTAGGATGTATACACAGAGAAAATTAAGTGCTATGTCAGTATTGTAAACCAGTGTTGTGTACGTGGTGTGCATTTCATTTTGTTAGGATCTGTGAATGGTGAAATTAGAACTGTCCCTGTAAGAGGCCTTGGAGGCCCATAGTTAGCAACCTGTGAAGATCCCTCCCTGCCCTACCCTTGTATAGGAGGAAGTTCACATACCAGAATGTAACTGAACAGATTGTCTCCTGCAGGTTTTAACCACAAAGAAATGTTCTTCACACACTGTCTACTGCACTGTGCAGTTTCTTCCCCTCCTATTCACATAGGTGTTTTCTCCCCCTGAGCTGCTCCTGGCCTACATGGAATGATGTTACAGAACAAACTATGCAGGCACACGTTTAGGGTTTTGTCATGGCAGACATCTTCTGTATTCTGTTTGCCACCAACAGCATAATTTTTAAAACCATATTTGTGGCAACAAAATGGAGGAGCTTGGATTCAATATGAAATGTGAAATAGTGCTTGCATGAATCTTGCTACAATCAAAATAGGGAAGTGATATGGAATAACTTCTACCTATATGATAGTGAACAACAAAGAGAAAATGCAATGTATATTGAATTCAAAGAAACTAACATTGTTCCTTTCTTTCCTGAAATGAAATTTATTTGTGATCTCAGTTTATGATAGTGTGACAGATATAATGAAATGAGATCTCTGCTACCAGCATAACATCACGGGCATGGGAACTGCAGGTGGTAGAGATCCTGTCCTGGTGTCTGAGAAGGAGGTTTATTTTTGTTATGAGTGTGATAAGGTAGATGTACCATTTTATTTAAAAAATATACAGGGATTCATGTAAAGTTAATCATTGCGTAGAGGATGAAATATATTGGTATGCACATTATTTAAAAACCTTAGTGCCATGTTGTATTGTACATAACTGGAAGTTATGGGATGGTGTTTCCTAGTTACGTGTTCCAGGCAAACAGAAATATAAATATTAATTACAGCAAACATTTTTATGAATTTTATAAATTCTTATAATATTCAGCACTTGTTGTATTTTGTGGAATATTTTGGACGTCACACTTATGAGGTGCTCAATAAGAGTTTAATATTGTACGAGTTAACCTTGTTTCTGTGTCTTCCTCGTCCCCTCACGTGAACTGAGAAATGGTATTGTAACGTGTTTACGTTACTGAATACGCCGTAGAGATCGTTACCTGGTTTATTGAACAATCTACAACTATCGGCTACAATTAATGATCACAATATTACGGGTTTCCACACTTTACAAACCCTACAACAAAATCTCTTAACACTGTCTTCACTTGTCTTCACGTACTACTAACGCGGGAGCTATACAAGTCTCCCTGAAATACACACTCNTATACACTTCTATATGTAATAATACAAATGCCATCGTGAATGCAACAATTTATTTGGTTGTAGATCTTTGTCTTTTTTTTTCCTCTACACTACATGTTTCAGCCGTAATTGGCCATCATCAGGTGTATTTTTCACTACATAGCACACAGTCCAAAATCTAAAACATCAGCCTGTCAATTTTGATTTAAAACCTCGTCAACACCCGCTTGTCAATTTGATTTTAGAATTACAGTTTAAAATTTAAAATTTCCAAAATTTAAAGTTCAAAATTTAAATTTTTAAATACCAGGAATACTTGCTCTTGTCTACATGTGCTGCAACGGCCATTTGTTGCTTTCAGCACCATTCATGTATTTATTCAGTGCCGGCTCCCTGTGTGTGTGTGTCGCTGCTCGTCTTTAATAATTTGTTGCCTTCATGATGGCATTTGTATTATTACATATAGAAATTGGTGTTTTATTCATCACCCTTGTTAAGTTATTATGTTTCACCGCCTTTTAATGGAGTGGAATACTTCTCCATTCATGTGGATGTTCAGTTTAATACACTTAAGATCCTTATTCAATACTTTCTGTTACAATGAATAAGGAGCAAGTGTTTTGAATGTTCTCAATTTTAAGTTGAAATTTACATTACTTTTAACACAAATATCTTGTATTGGTGTGGGACTTGCACAGTTCTGTGTATTTCTTCACAAGAACTGCTTGAAATTATTGTCGCGTATCGGGCGTATATCGCGACAAATAACTGCATGCCGTATTTGATATAGCGAATTTTATTTCACATTTGCTCTCACAATCACCCAAATTACAATCTGACGATTACTGCTATCTGCAGTATCACAAATAGTACGCTCCAAATGCCACAATACAACTGACTGGTTGCTGGCTAACTCGGCGGTAGGTCCAGGACTCGCTGACTGACTCCGTACAACTGACTGTGAATAGCCTTCGCTGCACCTTATGTAACCTCGATCGGACAATACGGCCACGTAATAGGCACCCTTGCTGCCTGGCGCTGTGTTGCTATGTAACGCTAGCGGAAGTAACCGCTGTTACTACCGTAACGTCGCCGCTGTTGACTCGCGTTGCCTAGCGACCGCGATATCCCTCGGTGACGTCACCGTGGAGGGGAGTGGCGGGGCGGGAACTCGCCTATTACCGTAGTAACGCGAGCGTTACATTACTGCCACGTACCGCTGGGGAGGTAGGGGTCAACATGTCACATTATGTTCTCTGGCTCACACCCCTGCTTCACAGGAACACTGAATGGATCCATCACACTGATCAATTGTCTGTGTTGTCTGTCATTGCTATCAGTATGCAGTTGATCAAGTTGTCATGATCTTGTACTTTCATATAGTATAAGCAGTTTCTTTGATGCATCCCCTTAAGAAAAATTCAAGTGGGCTGAGACTAGGAAAACATGGAGGCCAGATGAATGAACGCCTCTATCTGATACATGTATTGAGATAATGGTTGTAAAGCTTATTTTGCGCTTCGTATTAGAAGTGGAGAGTGACACTGCCATGATGAAACCACATGCCTTCACAAACATTATGAGGTACATTCCCCATTCAAGTGGAAGTGTTCTTTCAATGAGATCACTGTATTGAATTCCATTCAGATGATTCACAGTCACATATTTTCCAGTTATATAATTGCGCGTGATTCCAGCCAGAATGTTGGTGCTAAATATTTGTTAAAATGAACAGCATTGAGCAACTTGAGGATTCTCCTGTGCTCATTCATGTAGGTCATGGAGACTGTTTATGCCATTCTTTGTGAATGTTGCCTGATCAGTCCACAGTACATGGCACAAAAGGTTGGGTTGACTGTTCTTCCCTGCAGAAGTTGTCTCCTGAGCTGAAAGTAAAGATTATTATCCCCTGGCTATAGCCCTTGTACAGGTTGTGCATGATGTAGATAAAACCTCCCCTTACTCATTGTACACCGAACTGCACTCAGAAAGAGGCCTCTTTCATGTATTACTTCACCAGTCATAATTGATGGATTGCCATATACACATCTAACACATCTTCGTCTGCTGCAACCAATGTATACCAGTGGCATGAATGCACTTGTATCCCTCAGACTTCATTGTTCTTTGCAAATACTTGGTATTTCTCTGAACTGGATACTGGCAACAGTATTACTTGATGCTACTCAAGTATTTTGATCAGAACACCTGAACGTGAAATTAATAAGAGTCCTTCCCATTAATAAATTACGCCATTTCATTCTACTCATATCACTACTTTGCTGTTGGAAGGAACGAATTTTAGCTCTTTATCATGTATCCCAACTTCCTATTTTGTCTTCCTCATTTCTTGAGGGCAGCTCCAAGGATGATGCGTGAACTCTTTCAAGACCAGCTCTGCGGGCACTCTTTTTCAGTTTGAAGTAATATTTCTTCAGACTGTCACTGAGAACTTGTGTTGCATGTTATTTGAACATTTTGATTTTCACACGTGTTTAAATACTATTGTTATATTTATGATTTCATTTTATTCAATGGATAAGAAATGCATCTTATAACAGTTATCTTTTGTGTATAACTTTACAGCAGAACTTCGATGCCATCAAAGTAGAAAATGATTTTCTGATCAAAGAGAAATCCATTGATATGAAAAGTGAAAAGGTGTGTGCATCAGCATCAAGTTCCATAAAGGAGGCTGAACCCAAGGTAAATTTTGTTTTCAGATGATGTTTCTGATTTTCTTCTAGCATTTGGTATTGCCACACTTCTCTAAAGTGAAAAGTGGAAAACAGTTTGTATATGGTATTGGTTTGTCTGACGTCAGGTTTCATTTGTGGAGTCTTGCATTTATGATACTGTGATGTGATCGCTGAAAGCTGGAATAGTTTAACATATATATGTGGCCATTGCTAGGCAGCAGCGTGGTAAACACATTTTCCCAGCAACAGATAAACATGCAACAATAGAGGAATTCCTGAAAACGTTTGTTTCTGTGCAGCCTTTGGACAAGGTTATATAATGAGGACACCATCCAAATTATTTCGGTTATTACTTACTCCTGCCCCACCTGGGAGGATGTTGCGGACGCTCACCTCTTGAAATTGCAGTGCCTGCACAACAGAGTACACTGTGCTATTGGAAATTTTGACAGGTGCACACCAGTCCGCGAGTTGCACGTGTCTTTCAAAATTCCTTGCATGTTTGACTACATAACTAAATTATGCAGGACACAGGCAGAAGTGTTCCTAAACCATGTGAATCCAAATGTATGTGGTATTTGACAAGGAGAAGCCAGACACAGGAAGAATAAGAGGCATGAACTTGGTGGCTGTCAGGCCTGTGACCGTTCAGCTGACTAACTGCAGTTTCAGAATAGTTGCATAAGTTAAGGCATAACCCGATGCACATGCCTGCACATATAGAAACCCTCTGTATATAATGTCAACATGTTATTTAGTATTCTGCAGTGACAAAGGCTGCACAGAGTCCATAGTGAACTGGACTCTATGACAGTGTGGATATACTCGTGCTGAAACTAGGGTGCAACAGACGTAGTGACTGTCAACGAGAAGGCCCCATTTTGAAACACGCACATGTTGATGAGAGAAGAAAAATTTTGGTCAGGGATCTCAAGGAGACTAAAGCAAGGATTAACACTGCTGGAAATGGCCAGCAGCAATTTAACCAACTCACCAAGTAAGTTGACACTCAGGATTGAATCTATTAGTGAAGACCAGCAGCAACTGAATGGAGCGACCAACCGAATCGACAGTCAGTCATGCGTTGGAAGGTAGCAGTCTGGTTCATGAGTTGCATTGTTAGATTGCTACTGCCAAGGGATGACTAGTGAAGGCATAGAGGGCTTAGTGTTTACAGTAGTGATTTACAGAATGTGTAGTTTAAGGAAAGTGTTATAATTATTTGTACTTATGAGTTGTAAACATTCAGTAGATTCAGTTACGGCCCCAAATCCCATATCTATTCACTGGCATGTGACAGTGTTATGTTAAATGTACCATTTTGGAATCAGCTGTTGTATATGCTGTCCCTTGTTTTGCGTATGTATCAAACATACCAGATGTAACAGAATTCTCCTTTGTTTATACAGGAGAATGCTGTTTCCATCAAAGTAGAAATTGATGATGTGATTGAAGAAAATTCAATCGACATGGAAACTGATGAGGTTTATAGACCATCAGTATGTTCCATAAACAAGGTTGAACCCAAGGTAAGCTTTACTTTCAGATGATGTTTTTGGTTTTCCTCCAGCACTTGATATTGCCACAAATATCTTACAAGTTTTCATACAAAAGAGAGTTTTCAGATAGATGTCATTGTTGGATCATTGGCGACCCTCACATCTGTGGAGCCTTGCTTTGATGTTGTTGTGACATGATGGATGAAAGCCTGTCAGTCCAGGTTCATGAGTTGCGTTGTTAGATTGCTACTACCAAGCAATGACTAGTGAAGGCATAGAAGGCTTAGTGTTTCTGATAGTAGTTTAGGGAAAGTGTTATAATTATTTGTACTTACAAGTTGTAAACATTCAGTAGATTCAATTATGACTCCAAATCCCATGTCTATTCACTAGTATGTGGCAGTGTTATGATGTTATGTGTACCATTGTGGAATCAGCTGTTGTATATGCAGTCCCTTGTTTTGCGTATATATCAAACATACCAGATGTAACAGAATTCTCTTTTGTTTATACAGAAGAACGATGCTCCCATCAAAGTAGAAATTGATGATGTGATTGAAGAAAATTCCATTGACACGGAAAATGATGAGGTTTATACTCCATCAGCATGTTCCATAAACAAGGTCGAACCCAAGGTGAGCTTTGCTTTCAGATTATATTTTTGGTTTTCTTCCAGCACTTGATATTGCCACAAATATCTTACAAGTTTTCATACAAAAAAAAAAGAGTTTGCAGATAGATGGCATTCTTGGATCATTGGCGACCCACCCATTTGTGGAGCCTTGCATTGATGTTGTTACATGATTGATGAAAGCCTGTCAGTCCAGGTTCCTGAGTTACGTTGCTGGGTTGCTACTACCAAGGGATGACTAGTGAAGGCGTAGAAGGCTTAATGTTTATGATAGTGGTTTACATAATGTGTAGTTTAAGGAAAGTGTTATAATTATTTGTACTTACAAGTTGTAAACATTCAGTTATGACCCCAAATCCCATGTTTATTCACTAGTATGTGGCAGTGTTATGATGTTATGTATACCATTGTGGAATCAGCTGTTGTATATACAGTCCCTTGTTTTGCATATATATCAAACATAGCAGATGTAACAGAATTCTCTTTTGTTTATACAGCAGAATGATGTTTCCATCAAAGTAGAAACTGATGATGTGATTGAAGAAAATTCTATTGACATGGAAACAGAATTAGCTTGTTCCATAAAGGAGGTTGAACCCAAGGTGAGTTTTGTTTTCAGATGTTTCTAATTTTATTTTCAAAATTTTTTATATAAAAAATAGTTTGTAGATATTTTATTCATTTGGAGGATCCTGTTGTGTTATTATATAAAATTCTTTTTTGGGATCCATTGTAACACATCAATGAAACAGTCTAGGTGAACATCACCTTAGCTACGTGTTTCAGCTTTCAGAGCCATCATCAGGCAAATACATGCTGCAAATACTGCACCTACACATTGAACTGCATTTCAATGTGACAGTAGAGCTGGATACTTGGCAACTGTGTTACACTATAATAATACAATGTATAGAAATGCAGTAAAGTTAAAAAATTATTATAAAACGAAATTGATAAAATAAAATATGGTTAAAATTATTCATGTAATGTTTCATATTATGGAGTCAGTGTTGCAATCTTGTTATATTCCAGGGGACATAAAGCAGTGTATTCATGACTTGGACACGAATAGTTAAGTCCTTTTAGGCCCGTGGTATTGGTGTAGTATTATTTGGTGTTAATTGTTTGGCCGGTGCCTCATTTTATGATGTAGTTTGTCCGCTCTGGTTGAAATACAGATTGCAGTTTTTTGCTTATGGCAGGGACCCATAGTGGGCTCTTGTAGACATGATATCGAACCCTCCAGTACTATAGAAGGCAGAGAAATGCTGCACTTGCTGAATGACTGTTAGCTTTTGATGAAGGATATTGTTCCAAGGGAGGTAGTAGTCTGTTGATCGGTGAGTCAGTCATGGAGCGAGTTTGTCAGGAAATATTTTGTTGTGAAGAAGAAAATTTTTACAAAACAGCTGTTACCAGTTTGATACAGTTTAAACAGTTTGTAATGAAAGGGTATCCTATTTCATGTAATGTGGCATTGAGAGCGCATAGATATGATTCATAAGGGTGCGGTGATTTTTACAGATCTGTACTATCTTATTGAAAGATGTACCTGGTTCATCCAGTGAGACATGTAATTGGGTCATCAATGTAAAAGTTGAAGAGGACGATCCTTTGGCGATAGCATTTCCTGCAGTAAAGGCTGAACCTGGGGTGAGTTTGTGTGTCAGACACATTTTACTTATATATGCATAACTGTATTGGCTTTCTGCACTCTGTCTGTCTGTCTGTCGTCACATGAAACAGCTCCTTTCAGATGAATTCTCTGTGTCTTTACCAAAATGTCTGGAAGGATAGTTTATTTTGTTGCATACTGGCTGCATTGTTCCTTATGGCAGTGTTAAGAAATACGAATCAATACAGTGAGAAGACTGAAAGATGTTTCATAAAAGTGTTAAAACCACAGAATCCTTTCACGGTTTGTTTGTGCATCCTTTCCAGTGAACGTTTTTTTTGACACTGCATTGTGCCATGAGATTCATTGTATTTCCAGGATCAGAGTCTGAAGGTTGCTATTTACTGTATATCTCATGCAACTGTGGTGCACACTGTATCCAGACAGGAGATGTGTGTCTCCATTTCCATTAGGATCTCTAATAGGATAAGTGATGATGATTCTTCAAAGTTTTGTGAAGGGGCTGCAGTATACCCAACAGGAACAATTAGCCACACATGGTCAAGCATCACCCCCCCACCCACACTTTTACACTTTGTAATTGCACTTGTTGAATGGTGGGAGGTTTCTCATCACTGCATTAATACAGTCAACTCTCGATTATCCGGGGGCGGATTAACCGGTTTGCGGCTTAACCGGGGCTTTTTTTTTTAAGTTTATATGTTGTTTAATATTCATTCACTTTTGTTTCACATGGTGAGTTTAACACTATTTTCGCACTAGTGTGAACCGAGCTCTGCATTATTTCGTCCCGTTATGCGAACACAATGTTCTAGGGTGGGGGTGAAAGAATGCAAGAATTTTTGGAAAGTTTCAAGGACAAATACACCGCCCCAGGTTATTTAACGGTACCATCTCAGTGTGAGAGTGCATTGTGAAAGTAAGTATCAGTTTCTTAATATAGATCTTCAAGTGCGTTAGCAAAATGTCGGGGTTTAAAAGGAAGCGTGTTGTGTTAAGTATTC